TATGTAAATCGGGAGGCCTACATGTTTCTTTTAATTGAAAAAAGTATATATAAAATTTATTATTGAGTAGTACTCATTTTTGTCTTTACACATACTTACACACAGATAGATAGACCCAACACAATCTTTAGCAGACTTCATAAGTCTTGTTTCAGTATTCTTTTTGTAGCTTAATTCTATGAATTAAAATTTTTCTACCTAATGTTTCCTCTGGATGTGAGTAATTACTCAATATGTTTGTTAAATATAATTCCCATTCTGCCATTAAAGCTATAAAATGATTTCCCAAAGGAAGAGTTTATGTAACTATAATCCAGCATCTCATTATAACTATTATGGTTGTACCCTTCTCCTAATGGAAATATTTAAGTTAATTTAGAACCTAATGATTTTTTTCTCTAATGTTTTACATCATCATTTTGATGTTTACACATTGTATTAGAGTGCACACAAATGAATATTCCCTGATTATAAATTTCCTTTTAAATCCATTTTTAACTTAACATATTTTAGTACTGCCCCTCCTTTTTCTTTTAGTTTATTCTGGTTCCTTACAGCATATCTAGGAAGCAGATGTATGTTTAACAAACTAATTTATATAAGAGGAATGTAGGTAGGGTATTTATAGTTCTGTGGCACACTGTAACCTTCCAGATTCCCACCATCACAACATCCACATCAACTTCCCATGAAGGCCAAAATAGAGTGGGTGGATGGGCAGGAGGCAGACTAGTCATAATAATGGATGAAGTAAGAGCTTGCCTCTAAAAGACGATGCCAGGAGTCATTCTCCTCTCCACAAAAACAAGATAAATAAAATATCCTTTCACATTTCTAATCAAAATGAGAGTTAATGTGTCAGAGTGTGAGATTATTTTTCCTGGGGTAAAAGGCAAGGCCCTACGAATTATTCAACTTGACCATTATCTGCCATTTGGAATGAGTCTATTGGTTTCTTTCTTGAAAGAATGCAAGAGATGTAATGACTTGTTTAATGTATTTCTTAGTAATCCTTTCATTATGCCCACTTTTATTTTTATGTTTAATTTTAATTTTAATCTCAATAGCTGATAATCAATAAAGTAATGATCAGAAGAATTCATGAGAAAATATTGACCTTATGTTAGAAGAGACTACTCTTATTAAAAGAGAAAAGTCACCTAGAAAAAAGACTTCAGTTGAACCTTAAATCACAAAGCTCAAATATATATATATATATATATATACAAAATTATTATCTTGTTAAAATAATAACAATAACAAATGTGTGGTAAAAACGAGTAATTATTATTTAATAATACATTTCATACATTTATATAATTTTATAATTTTTTTAAATTTATTTATGATAGTCACAGAGAGAGAGAGAGAGATAGAGACATAGGCAGAGGGAGAAGCAGGCTCCATGCACCGGGAGCCCGATATGGGATTCCATCCCGGGTCTCCAGGATCGCGCCCTGAGCCAAAGGCAGGCGCCAAACCGCTGCGCCACCCAGGGATCCAACATTTATATAATTTTAAAGTTAAAAGAAGCATATAGACATCCCTCAATCTACACAGTATATATGCTCCAGCAAAGTTGTTAATGAAGTAAATTTCTGAGCTGAATAAAATTATAAATTTGGGCATCTTCTTTTTTTTCTGGACAAAATGAGCTAAATTTAGTCTGAAAATAAATGGGTTAAGATAGTGGTTAAATCTGTGGGTGTTTGATTTTGTATAGATAGAAGGGATTTCTTAATCTTTCAGAGCAACTCAATTCCACTCAATAAATGACAAGGGTCTACTAGATGTTACAGGTAATTAAAAAAATGAGCAAGAGGCAGATTCTTATAAAACAGTAAAGAATATAAAACAAAGCTCAAACAAAACACGTAAGGAACTTTATGAGAGGAGAGAAGGTGACAGTTAATAGAAGACATCAGACAAACTGTTGTGCAGCAGCTAATATTTGGATACGCCATTGAGAACTGTTAGAACTTTTGCCCATCTAAAGGAAGAGGACACCATTTTAGGGAGTAGTTCTGAAACCTTAGGATTTGTAAGACTGATGTGGATGTTGGTTGGGGGGTGCTGTATCATTCTGTATCAGTTAGCTGTTGCTACAATTATGTTTAACAAAACACATCACAGTGTGGTGGCTTAAAACAACCACCTCTTACTATGTCTCTTGATTATGCTGGGCAGTTCTGCTGATCTCAACCAGGCTCAGCAGATCTCAGCTGAGATAGCTCATGTATTTTAGGGTCCTCTGGTGGGTTAACTGGATGGGTAAGGGTGGCCTCAACTGGTAAACTCAGCCTTGCTTCCTGAGATCCTCATTCCTCCCTTAGGCCACCCTAGGCTTCTTCTCCAGGCAGAGGTAGGGTGAAGCTGAATGGCTTTTCAGACCTAGGCTCAAAGGTGATTTACAGCTGCTTCTTCTGCATTCTATGGGCTAAAGCAAGTTTCAAGCCAGCCATTCAAGAAATGGAAACAGACTCCACCTTTCAATGATGAACTGCAAAGTCTCGTTGTAAAGACATAAACAGAGAAAAGGGAAGAACGGGGGTCATATTTGTAATTAGTTTACCACAGTGGCTTCTTCATTTTGACTGAAATATGGAGTAGGTGGGATAAAGCTATCTGGTCATGTAGGTGATGCAGGCTGGGGTTGAGCTGACTTGTTTATTTCAAATTTAGGCAGTAGTGAGGAAACACTGAAGGATTGTGAGCAGGGAATAAACATGTTCAGAAGTCTGGCTTTAAGAATAAACATGTGATTATGGGTGAATAGAAGCAGAAAATAGGAGACAGGTTATCTGTTTCAATCATGTAGGTGGAAGTTAAATGTTCAAATCAATGTAATGGTAATGGGTACAGAATCTAAGGGAAAAGTAAGAAACTTCCTTAATAAGGGTCTGAATGGATAAAACCACTGATAGGATTACAGGCTTGATGGGCTAGTAGCATCTCCTTTATGCTCTTTCCCTTTTATACCAATCTCAAATATTCAACACATCTCTTCTTCCAATTCAGAGTTCCCAGAAATTATTGTCAATTGTCATATCTATGATAATATGACATTTAATAGCTGGCAGGATAAAGAGTGAAACAGTAGAGATGTAGAACCTTTGATCTACCTTTTTTTTTTAAGATTTTACTTATTTGTCCTTCTCCGATTGACTTACTTCACTCAGCATAATACCCTCCAGTTCCATCCACGTTGAAGCAAATGGTGGGTATTTGTTGTTTCTAATGGCTGAGTAATATTCCATTGTGTATGTTCTCACTCATTTGGGGAATATGAATAATAGTGAAGGGGAATATAAGGGAAGGGAGAAGAAATGTGTGGGAGATATCAGAAAGGGACACAGAACATAAAGACTTCTAACTCTGGGAAATGAACTAGGGGTGGTGGAAGGGGAGGAGGGCGGGGGGTGGGGGTGAATGGGTGACGGGCATGGAGGGGGACACTTGACGGGATGAGCACTGGGTGTTATTCTGTATGTTGGTAAATTGAACACCAATAAAAATTAATTTATAAAAAAAAAAAAAAAGATTTTACTTATTTACCCATGAGACACACACACACACACACACACACACACACACACACACACAGGCAGAGACACAGACAGAGGGAGAAGCAGGCTCCATGCAGGGAGCCCGATGCGGGATTTGCTACCGCGTCTCCAGGATCACGTCCCCGGCTGAAGGCGGCGCTAAACCGCTGAGCCCCCGGGGCAGCCCTGATCTACCTTTTTGATTGAGCCAAGTTTTCTTATCACATCCAGACTGCAAGTTTTTCAAAGATTGAGGTTTTAGTTCATTTAGCAGTTTTTCCCCCCAATGATTCCATACTTCTATAGATCTCTAATTTTAATATTTGTAAAACATTTATTTAAAATGAGATGTGCAAATACATTATTATCAATTTTATTTAAATCAAATAAAGCTGCAACTGATGTGAAGACATTGGCATAGAAACCACATGAATTTTATTGAGATAAAACTTTAAAGACAAAATCCTAATACCTAATTATCTTATCCTGAAATAATTCAGTGTAAAGATATACATATTAAACAGTCACCCACATGTAGGCAGTATACAATGCACATAATGAAGCCATAAAACATTTTATACTGCTTTATTATAAATAATTGGAAACAATATTTCATTTTTCAAACCCAGATAACAAAATAGTAAATAACATGCTGTTTTTCATGATTTCATTTTATTTTTCTAATATGAGTTGGGAAATAGTATTTCTTATCAAAAGACTGGTAACAAATATCTGTAGGGACACAAAGGAACAAAACACTCACTTCCATTCACTTAAAGGAAAACAATCAAGGTTTTTAGAGGGAGAGGTTAAACAGTGCTATGAAGGAGTCACCAAGAATAGAAAAACTCTGTAATATCAGCAAATATCACTTGTAAGGCAAAATGGGGTTGTATACAAATGCATAAAGACTTGCTGGTAAATTTCAAAAATATTTTCTTAAAAATAGAATAGCTTTATTTTCTCAAATGGAGGAACTTATATTGTTGCATTGAAAAAACTTATTTTTCTAAGAAAGGACACCTATTTCGCTTTTCTTATAGTCACTCACATTTTGATAAAAACCCTTTCACTACTGTAACATTGCACACTTAGAAGCAGAAAGTACTTTCTGATAAACTACCATAGTAACTTCAAATTGCCACAAAAACCTGTGCCCTCAAATTCACTTAAAATAGATTATCCTGTAGGAATATTTTCATTAAGAGAATTACAGCAGCCAGCAGTCAGAACTTTTTATGTGACTATGGTTAATTTTCCCTTTTTTGTCTTTTCCTTATGTTTAATACAGCGTTTTGACAATTTTCTCCACTGAATAATTTTAGAAATCAGAAATTGCTTATGAAAACAGCCTGAGAGAGAAACATGTGAAGATATAATATGGTTCATGAAATAGTGTACTAGATTTCTTTGAAAACTTGTGTTTATTTGCATTAATGAAGGGACAAGGTTGCATATTCCAGATTAAAGAGCTATTAGGCTTACCATGTATATAAACATGCTATGTACAATGATATTTATAATCCTTCTTTTATTTTTCATAGACTTCAAAGTGTATCTCTCATAGAAACTGGAACAGGGTGAATCTGGAAAGCATGTTTCAGTTAATTAGCGAAAATGAAATTAGCATGAGATAACAAGACGAAGAGTTGAAATCGTTATTTTAAAAATAATGAAGTTACATGTCAGTGTATACATGCAAGATATTGCAAAGTGAACTGTTCCAGTTTACTTGGTTTTACAGCAACTTAATACGCTCTAAAATACTGTTTTAATGTATAATATCAGAAAATAGTAAATGCATGTATATTATTTTTAAGACCTTGATGGTATATTTCACATTCTTTAAACTTTACTCACGCTATAAATATATTTATAAATCAGTCAGTTCTTAAAGTAACTGAAAACTATAGCATGGAGGGATCATTTTTTATCTCATATGTCCATAATACTTGGTTATGTCCATTTTTTCCTGAAAACTATATCAAAAATTAAAGAGTAAATGGAGTATGTTGCTACCTCACACTATTACTCTTCACATACTACAGTTCATTATGGTTTACCAAAATGGAATTTACATTTGAAGATGGGTTAACTGAAATTAATTAGTAAGTGTGATTTAAGAGTTAAGCTTCAGAAATCCATGAACACTTAACCAATTTAGAGGGCAATACTGATTCTTCCTAAACTTTTATTAAAATTGTGCAACAGTATAAATGGATTTTTAGTAGGTTTGCATAGAAATAACACCACTTCACTGGTGTGATACATCTTTTCCAAAGGATGATGGCAGGTCTGTTTATATTCTTCACGTATATTCTTTTGTTGTTCATTTCCTCCTCCTCCTTCTTCTTTTCAATTTTTACGTGAAATAAACCACATTTATCATCTGGCTACCATAGTTCTAAAATAAGATCCAGTAGTAGTTTGAAGCACAGTGAATTGAACACTTTCTTCCCTTTTTAAAACATGACAGTGAGTGGCATTCTCTGTAGTCAAGCCATATGAACATGGTTAACCCCATCTAGAGACTTCTGTGAACTCAAAAGGCTCCAAATCCACAGTCAAGAACCTTGGTGACTTCACATAACTGCCACTTATGGCTGGAAGGGCGATAATATCTGCTTCACAAGTTTTCAAGCAGTTTCTCATCTGGTAGCTTCTTCAGATTGATTTGTTGTTTTTATTATTGCTTTTGACAATTATGCCTTCAAAAGTCCAAAGGTCGAATCATCATAGTTGTGGAACGTAAGGAGTAACTGGGCCCTTTGAAGTAGTGCCACTTAATCCCATTCAGTTTTCCATGGTTTTGTCCAGCAGTGTAGAACATTCCATTTAGATTGGATGGGCCACAAGCATCAAACCACCAGCCTGAAAAATTAGTTAATAATGAAAGAGAAAAGAAGGAGAAGAAACAATTAAAAGTAAATTAAACACGTGGAAATTAATGGCTCTAACCAAGGTGGAGTTTATACTTTTTATGGTCATTTGCAAATAAGAGGCATTCAATAAAAAAGCTTCTTGGTCATGGAATTTTTTAAAAAGATTTTATTTATTTATTCATGAGAGACAGAGAGAGAGAGGCAGAGACATAGACAGAGGGAGAAGCGGGCTCCCTCTGGGGAGCCCCATACAGGACTCGATCCCTGGTCTCAGGATCACACCTTGAGCTGAAGACAGACTCAACCGCTGAGCCACCCAAGTGTCCCATTGGTCATGGAAATGTTTTAAGTGACATCCAGTTTAGGCAATGTAGGAACAGAGAGAGGAATGCTTTCATGGAAATTCAAGCTTCAGTGTCACTCTAATGGGACTCATTTCCCATTGTAATGATAGAAAGCTTCTGGGCTTCATGATAAGATCTAATTCAGATCTAGATTTATATGCAGGATAAGTAAAATGCAGATACCCTGTGCATTCCACCTTCAGCCTGCTATTAGGAATACAACGATTATTAGTGAAGAAGTTCAGAAACTTAGACAACTGACATCTAAATAGAGTGAAAGAAATGTTTTCCATCTATTTCATAATTTTGCTGAGAACTGGTCCACAGCTGCTTCTGAAAGTAACTGGATACTGGACAATGACTATGACACACAAATTGAATTCGAATCACTGTGCTCTCTCTATTTTATAATAATTTGGGAAGTGTTCATCAATAGTAGCCAGATAAGTTCCTATATAGCAATATTTTTTCTTATGATTGTTCAAGTTCTTTCAAACCTAGTAAAAATAAAAGCAACTTGATGAGTCACATGGAGACCCTATGCTTGCATTTCTCTCTGTAAGGATAACTTAGTACTTTATTTTTTTAACGAATTAAGTTCTTAGGCTTTTAGATAAAACACAGTACTTTGTCTCCTGAAGTAACACTACTGAAATCTTTAGGGAGAGATTTATGCCAGAGACATTCTGGCATATTTTTGTTTGGATATAGTTGACCTCCCTCTGATTACAGAGTTATACCTAAGGGACTAATAGCTAAAGAAAGAGAAAGCTGTACAACTGATGTTTAACTGTAACACGAGCATCATCTTGCAGAAACTAGCAAAAGTTAAACAGGGAAAAGCTAGTTCTCATTTTTCAATTTTGGAAGATGAATACAGTAAAAGCATGTTTATAAAGTCATACTAGAGGCACAGCAAGCTGTATTAGTTACCAACTCATACTGGAGAATAATAAGGTATGCCTTGATGAATTTGGAAAGACTATTCAATGCCATTTTACCAACTGTATGCAAACAACACAGATGTTAATGCATTCAGAACATGAGGGACAAGAAGGTTCTTGTTTGGCAAGGAAGGATGAACATAAAACTCCACACTTTTTTTTTAAGATTAATTCCTTTACATTTTTTTGATAAGCATGACCAGTAAAAAATGTTACTTATATTACAAAAAGTATTCTGATATTAAGGAATTCATTTACCCTAAAGACTCTCAAAGGACAAAATGAAAATCCAACTTGATCACTCCAGTATTTTAACTTTCTCCCCCTTTTCTCTGACCTTCTTGAGGTACTCTTCCATCATGTTAATGAGCCTTTCATAGTCTTCCAAATATCCACTATGGTCTCCAAAGGAAATGCAGCTACTCTATTATTAAGAACTACTACAAATCATAGAATGATCCTCCAAGTTACATTAGGTATTCAGGGTAAAAGTGTGTGTTTTTGTTTGGTTTAGAGAAAGTCACAAGAGTTTTGGACGACTGTGGGAAGGCAGAGGTCTGCTGCCAACAGCAGCTTGGCAATAAAGGGCACAGGCTGAAGAATACATTCATTGGGAAATTTTTTATGAGTTTAGGAAAGAGACAAGAAGCAGTAGGAGCACGTAAGAGAATCCAATAAATTGATCTTGTGTGTTTTTCCTAATGAGTAGGGTAGGGTAATGTTTGTGGTTAGGGGAAGGCATTTTGGAGACACTGAGAGAGAAGACCATACTGCTGGGTCAGAGTTAACAAGAGAAATAGGAGCCTCAAGTTGAGAAAGTCTGAAGATCAAATCACATAGTCTTTTGTGAACAAGGGGTGAGCTCTCAGGAAATGAAGGTAAAGAAATAGGCAGTCTTGGTGCAAAGCGGAACAATGTTCACAGAAAACTTTAGAGTTTATTGTGTCTACTTGTCCATCATCAGATGAACAAGCAAAACATTCTCTAGGAATAGGAACCAATATTTAACCAGAGGAACCAGATCTATAAGGTTGAATGTTTAATCAAATATTACTTAGAGCCCTCATTCTGTAACTATGTTCTGCCAAACCATCGTGAGCATATGTTGGCAGCATAATGAAGCAAAGAAAAATCAAGAATCAATTCAACAAATATTAACCAACAGACAGATGTAGAGGTTGGTGTTGAATATAATAGAATTCCTGGTTTCCAGGAGTACACAGTTTTTTTGTGTAGGAGAGAGACAATAAATTGTTTAAAAATGAGATGATGGTTGTTAAATGGAGATGAACAAAATCTATGGAAACAGAAGCAGAAGATGCTGTCAATGGGTCCACAAGGTTTACTTTTTTACCACCTGAGCTGTGTTCTGAAGATCGATGTGAGCTCACTGAACAGAAGGAAATTCTGAACACAGTGTGTACTCTAAGAGAGTAGGAGAAAGTGTCTGCCAGCAGCCTGGCTTGGCTGGACTGCCACTAGGTAAGGGGTTGGAGAACATAGGGCAGCAAAATAGACAGAAGGAGAACACAGAGGTTTCTGTTTTATTTTTAGAAATTTTCTTGTGGGTAATGGATGGAGAGCCTGTAATGCACTAGACAAGAAACTAAAAAAATCACATGTGCTGACTGCACCAATTAATAACAAAGATACCAAGCAGTAATAGTTATAATAATATTTGATATGTATAAAATATTTAATATGCATCAGGAACTATGCTACAATTTTTATAAGCATTCTCTCATGTCTTCCCCCACCAAACAACCTCAGTTGATGTGGCAGGTATTGTAATAAAGACACTGATGTTCAAGAGTAAGGAGATTTTCCAAGGTCACACAATCACTTGTGATGTGGTTTATAATGTCTGATCAGCCATTTTCACAACATGGTTGTATGGATCAAATAAAATGACACATTGACTATTGAGACCAGTAAAACCATAAATAAGTGTTTATTGTAAGTTATCTAGGAAATGGGATAGAAGGTTTAGGGTAGGAACAAAAAGGATTCAATCTTGTGGGGCACCATAATGATTTAATAATGAAGACCAGATCATCAGTGCTAATATAGGTCTCCTCATTTGCTTGCTAGAGTTTATTAAAGCAATATGACAATAATTTGGACCCAAATGAGTACGGTCATACAATGTTTGCATTGTAGAGATAATGGCATTTAAGTACCTAATATGATTTGAACAAGTGTTTTCAATGATTTATCTTGACATCATGTGGAAACCAAAGACCTTAATGTCTTTGACTATCTTAAGACCAGTGGGCCAGGCACACTATTGCCTCTCATGGAACAAGCGACAATAATAAAGATGATGAACTAAGATGGCACAACACAAAATGAAAGGGCAATTATTTCTCTTGACAATTTTGGTCATAGTGTCCTTTGTAAAAAACTCTGAACATCAAGGTAGCAAAAATAGTTATTTGTGTGCAAGCAATAATTCTGTTTCCTCTGATACATGCAGTTAAACAACAAAGGAATTTCCACTTTCTAAATTTCTTTGAAAAAAAAATAAGCATGGCCGTTTCTCTTAAACAGAAATCCTGGAAAGACAAGTTTTTAAAGCATATTTATAGAAAGCCAGTGAAAGTAGTCCTGGTTATTCATATGTATGGCTTGGCATTTGTAGATAATCCTATGTGCTTGTGGTAATCAGCATATATACAAGTTTAGCATGCAGTCAAGGTGTTCGCCATGAACACACAGGCAGTATGTCTGGGGCTGCAGTTCCTCTCTGATAAGATACCAAATAGCTGAGGATATTATATGCCCTCTACAATCTTGGGGAAATATTAACTCTTTACTTTGTTCTGTATGTTCCGAGGAATAACAAATGAGCCACAAGCTAAAGAAGTTAATCTAGAAATGGCACTTTAGGCATAAAAGAACTCAGCGATGCAAGCAAAGGATGAGGAAACCAGCAGCTTCCATCTGCCGTTGGGACAACTGATAAAACGTCTCAAATGTTTTCAGATTGGCAACTGTGGAGATGTACGTTGCCAAGCATTTTTCTTCATAACCTGTAACCTCATGTATATTTTAATAAGAAATCTGAGATGCGTGTTTCTAATTCATTTACACTTAACTCATTAAAATTTAGTTTTGTACTAACTATCCCGGGCTATGCCGGCCTTTAAAAGTCATTCCAGTCTTTTATCTCTGAAGCAGAAAGCTCACACTTTATCACCAATAAATAAAACTTTGCCCAGAAAGTAGGAATTTGATTTTAAACTTTGCACTCAGGAAGTTCAAATTTATTTGAAAATCAGGAAACCTAACTCTCAAATTCTTCTGATCCTAAACAAAATGTCCTTCAACACTTACTTTCTTTGGTAAAACCACAGCAAAATGAAAAGATAGACCAGTTTTTATAGATTTCTTTCATTTTGTAATGCATGCATCCTAATCAGCAATGTGCAAGAGAACTTGCACAAAAAATCAGATTTGCCTCTTTTCTTGCTAAGAATGAGGCTGAACAAAACTGACTGGTGCCACTGTTATCGGTGGGATCGTTACGAAAAATTACCTACTGAGTTCATGTGTACAAAGTTGGCCAAATCCATTGCTAGCCTTAAGGAGCAGCTGCAAGGGTCTTGGGTGCATGCGGGAGGCAAAGGACCTTTCTCAGAGGTCTGCATTCCCTCTGTCATCTCATACTATATCCCCTTCAGGCCAAGGACTTGGCTTTT